AATTGCGTTGATCCAAATAATCCGGTCCGCTATTCGCTAATTCTTTGAATAAAAAAAGGAAACTGTATCCACTCTAGTTAGCCGTTACAGATCTTGGCAAAATAATTTATCACTCTAGATTTTTGGTATATAATCCGTAGTTTTTGTGCCGCAAATACATGTTTGCATTTTCTACTAGACACTACCTAACGGATATATACCATTATAGCTGAGTATACAGTCAGTGAACAGGGAGTACACTAGTAATAAGACGACAAACCAGATGAAAATTCGAAATAGGGGTGGATTATTTTTTGACAGCGCATTTGTTGCTTGCGTCAAGGTAATAGATAAATGCAGTTTTTCGACGACTCGAAGGACTGACTCAAAGTACGATGCAATTTCTGTGCGGCTCAAGACGAGAAAAGCGGCTAGTGCGACCCCCCGCGTTAAGGATAGTAAGAGTGAAGGCGTATGCAAAGTGATAGGCGTATTCGATCTGCGCACTTACTCGACTAATAGAATAAATCTAGTTCGAATATAGTTGGTGGCATCGATCGCGGAGGAGATTGTACAGCTCATTTGTAATCATCAAATAGAGCATGGTTATAATTGAACGCTCATAAAGATAACCCCTATTTAGCCCCAGAGGGTGCTCAATAACAATAGAGCGCCGTGTACAATCCGGTATTATACGTTAGTTTTTTTTAGCATATGTATAATATTTTAGTAGCATTACTTCAACGACCTCCCCTTTTAGTTGTTGGATTGAATTACCTACATGTGCTAGTAAAATTGACGATAACTCGACATTAGTATGCTTTCTCTACGAAGCACAAACTTCGGTCAGTCTGAGTTGAGTGTATGAAAGTTATCTGAGGGCACTTCGTGTACCTTACGTCCATGACGGAATTATGCTTTAGTCTCCTAAAACCCAGAGCTGTTCCGTGCGAAGCGCGGCTTTGTTGACATGGTGTCCATGATTGCATGACAAAATCTTCAACGTGGTTTCTACTTCACAAAATCCATCTACAAATGCATTTTAAGGAACTCTATATTTATACTTAAACTAAAAACAGCAGGGTTGTCATCAGCCACTAGACGAGGAATTTCCAGAAAACAGTACTTTGTACTGTTTTCTTCCAGTCTGTACAAATAACTCTGGGATATAGCTACCGATCCAGTACATATTTCCAGACAGTTATTGAACAAAAAACCAGTACACTTAAGTTCGCAGCTAATAAATTAATTTACAAACCACTTTTCCAACAACATTTACTATTAATAGTTTATTTTTTTTACTTATCTTCAGCTCCTTCGGTTTTTTATAGATCATACGAAGCTATTTTGTCTTTTACTTCGTTCTTTACATTAGAAATGACTTCTCCGGTCACAAGCTACGAACTCCACCGTTGTCCAAGTACGGTCAAGCACGCTTCGTGGTTGATGCATCGGATGTTCAGGCAGCGCGTGACTTGGGCCTGCTACGGGATGACGTTGTATTGGACTCTGAGAATTCTGTAGCAGAAAACTACGGTCTGGTGTACGACCGTCTAGAAAATTTGGCTAAACATGAGTTCGCCTCTCAGAAGGCAGCCAGATCGAGCTTAAAAGAGTTCGACGTTCGCTGTGGATTCCAGATATTTATGAAACAGACGAGTATGAAACCTAACAATTCTGGGAATGCAAAATACGGATGCAAGAAGCTACATGGAGCGCAATTTTTTGACCAAAACACTCCAGTTGAAAGTCTGGAATGACCATTTTTCGTGAACGTTTTTTGGATTTAACGGGAAATGGAAAGTGACAAAGATGAATTTGGTCCATAACCACGTCAAACATGTTGGTTTTACCCAAGTTCCATTTGTGGAAGGTTCTGTTCCTGCTCAGAAAATCAGCTTGCATAACACCACCCAGGACATTGAGCAACTTACAACACTGGTTATGACGGAAATGCTTTCTATGCATGACCGAACAACTGCAACCTTGACGGGCTC